GAGGGTGGACCGAAGACAATGATCAAGTGATTTGTCTCCTGCCATCCCTCTCCAGCCTCTGACAGAGGCCAAGGACACCATTTTATCCCCTGGCTAATAGCCTTTTATGGACCTAACCTCCATGAAATTATCTAGCTTCTCTTTAAACTCTATTACAGGCAGTCCTGACTTACATACAGATTCAACTTAAGACCCCGAGGCCAGCTGCTGCTGAAACTGATCAGCCGCTGATTCCAGGAAGCCCGGGGCAGAGCAACTGTGCCTCTGGCTTCCTGTAGTCAGCCGCTGGTCAGTTTCAGCAGCGGCTGAATCTGGACGCCAGTTCTGACTTACATACAGATTCAACTTAAGAACAAACCTACAGTCCCTATCTTGTACGTAACCCGGGGACTGCCTGTATTCATAGGTGTGTAAATAAACATTTTGTGATGTATTTTTGCTTGAATCTAAGAATAACACTACTTCTTTCCTTCACAGTAGTGTTAAGCTGAAATTACATTTGTAAAGGGCTTTGAGATTGTACAATACCATGAGCTATAGGAGTATAAAGTGTTATTACTTACAGTGCTTCTTTACACTTTTTTTTTTTTTTTTTGCAGGTATGCATTCCTCAGCAGCAACAGAGCTATTTGTTACTGGAGCATTGCCAACCTCTGGAACATTTCCACCAACATCTGCTTTATCAGCTTATCAGCATCCCAACTCTTTCAGCAGTAGAAACTTTGCTACTACTCCATCTCTTACACTTCAAGATTCAACATTCAGTGCTACATCAAATGGTCTTTTAACAGCTCATGACCCTTTATTGCAAATCAAGACATCACAAGGCACAGTTCCAACCGCTTTGACATTTGAACGGCTAGGCAGCTCTGTTTTAAGTGCCAGCATACCACCTCAGTCATCAACGTACCGTTCTGCTCAAGAGTCTGCACCCCATCTCCTGCAACCTCAGTTTAGTTTGTTGCCTTCAACACTTGGAGGAGCTCAGCAGACTTCTCAGGCATATAGCACATCTGTCTTTTCTGGTTCCACTGCCTCCATTGATAGAGTACTTCAGAGAGAATGTAGTGTTATTAAACACCATCAGCGGCCTTCAAATACACAATCTGTTCAGGTACAACGGACTGGTTCCCAGCATTCCTTACACAGTTATTTATCAAGTACAAGTGTAGTTAATTTTCAGGATACATCCAGGCAGTCAGCATTATCTTGCAGTCCAGTTGGAGATGCTACTCAGGTGAGCAATGGAGGATCACAGCAGAAGACCTCTCAAGTCTCAGTAGAACTTGCTCAGTCTTATACATCTGCAATTCCATCACCTGGTTTTCCATCTGCTTCTACAGAAAAAACAAAAAACTGTTCTACAAAGCAGCCATCAAGGTCAACAAAGACCCCTAAACCTCAAAATGTAGCCTCTCCTGTGCAGACACAAAGCTATTCCAAAACTGCACAAAACCAGAGTTCTGTAATAGCAGGCCAAGCACAAATCTATTCTACAGCACAGCTTCCAAGTCTGTTGTCAGTCAGCCAATCCCAAAACTATGTTTCCACACAGTCACAGAATATGCCATCTGTCAATCATTCACAAGTTTTCTCATCCAGCAAGGTAGAGAAGCTGCCCTCATATAAAACACTGACTTTTTCTGGGCAATCACAAGCTATAACTTCTGATACTCAGACAACACTAAGTTATACTGCAGATCAACAGGTATTAACTTCAGTTCCAAATGAGAACTACTCTGGACAAACAAGGGATCTTTCTTCAGTTAGTCAATCTCAGAGTTATTCTTCTAATCACTCTCAGGGTTTATCTCCCGTTAGCCAATCACAGGTTAGTTATTCATCTCAATCACAGGTTTTGTCAGCTGTTAGTCCTTCAGAAAGTTATACTTCAGGGCAATCCTTAACATTAACTTCACCTTCTCTTCCATTTTCTTCCTCCCCTCGTGTTCAAAATTTGTCAGTCTCAAGCTCAAACCAGAACTATATTTCTCTACATTCTTCTCAGAATTCTCAGACACAAGAATCATCTTCCCCACAGTCTCAAAAGTTTTTAACTGGTCCTACGTTTGCATCCCCAGCTCATTCGCGAACACTGCAGAACAATAGACCTTCCTCAGAAACAAAAACATACGTGAAAAGGAAATCTGACTCTAACTTGTATGCTTCATCAAAACAGGAAGATGAATTGTCAATGCAAGACTTGCAGGCATTGCAACAGCAAACTTCTCTTGACTCCTCTACTCAAAGGCTAACTGATAATGAAATTAATGCTCAAGATGCTACCTTTAGGGTGTCAAAGGCAGATGACAGATATTCTCAAAGTGTAATCAGAAGTAATTCTCATCTCGAAGATCATGTTGTTGGGCTTACTCTTCAAGGGTCAAAAAAAGATGAGAGGATGGTTGGTTCTATGGCACAGCTTACTCAACAGATTGGCCATATCACTAATGTAGTAAGCCATGATATTAAAAAAGCAGCTAATATAATGCAGACAACACAAGTAAGTGTAAATGCTAAAGAACTAAACCAGCAGCATTCTCTTATGCATAAGGTACATGAAAGTAAGGGCCAGGAACAGCAGGGCCAAGTGATTAGCACACCATCACAGATTCAAGCTCATACTCTGAGGCACGGCAGTCAGCTGTGTTTGCCTAATGCACAGGTACTTCTGGAATCTGCCTGTGACTTACAAATTCTTCAGCAGTCAATACTACAGTCAGGTTTAGGACAAGCAAAGGCATCTCCACATGTGCAACGAATACAGAGCCCTCACCAGGTAGCACATCAGTTCCTTCAAATGGACAGTCACATTATTCAGAGTAATGGGGGTCATTCTCAGCAACAGCTTCATCCTCAAAATGTAGAAGTTATTAAAATGGATATTTCTGAGTCTTCAAAACCACTACAGCAACATATGACATCAAAAGACCATTTTACTCAACCTAATCAACACGAATCAAGGAATCAGTTTGTTTCTCTTGGTTCAATATGTTTTCCAGAGTCTATGCTTCTCAATGATGACAGGAATATATTGTCTAATGTGGATGACATCTTAGCAGCAACAGCAGCAGCGTGTGGGGTCACACCATCGGAATTTGCCAAATCAACATCTAATGAGGAAATCCAATCTGTTGAAAATGGTGATGATTCCAAATCTCAGTTCCAGTCAATAGATGTTCAACATATATCTCCTAGTTTCAGTTCCTCACCCACTATAGTTGGAAAGCCACATAGCATAAATAACATTTCTCTAAATGGAAACCAAATTACTATAAATCTTACAACAGTGTCTACAATACAATCAAAACACATGATCCTTGATCAGCATATGGAGACTTCTGATCAAAATGTGTCAGCTAGAATTACTTCTTCAGCCCTTGGGCCTAGTCAGGAGGAGCAAGAACAAGGGTCTGGCAAAGTTAAGAAACAGTCTAGCATTAGTCATGAATCTGAAGAAGACAATGATGTTCCTCTTGATGGTACCCTAAATGCTAGAGATTCAGAGTTTGTTTCAAGTGGCCGAAGTCTAAGTGAAGAAAGTGTTACATCAGATAATGATTTTAATATGGGTTGTGATGATGGCATTGTAGTAGGTAACAAGATTAAAGGTCTGATATCTGTGCTACAACCAGGAGATGAAAGTGGTAGCAAAACTGAAGAAGAAAACCCAGATTTAACTCAAGAGAACCTTCAAAAGAAAAAAAGTAAAGGAAAAAGCCAAATAAAAAATGCTACAGAAGATGATAGTGCAAGTCAGAAGCAATTGAAACGAAGTGGACAATGCAAACGTCAGAATACGCGAGGACCTGACATATATTTACCATATACTTCTCCTGTTTCTGAAAGTTGTTGTGATACTTATCAACATCAAGAAAGAATGAGGCAAAAAATTAAAGAAGTGGAAGAAAAGCAGCCAGAAGTCAAAACAGGATTCCTTGCATCTTTTTTAGACTTTCTAAAATCTGGACCCAGACAACAGTTTTCGGCGCCTGCTATACGAATGCCTAACAGAACTAGGCGACCAGTTACACAGATAGTCCGTGCCCTGGGCCCCCAGCCACCTTCAAAGTCACAGCAAGCAGCAGCTTCTTTGTCTGTTGAAGTTGAGTGTGAAAGTCCAACAAAAAAAGTTGATGATGAACTTAAGAAAAATTTGGAAACATTGCCTTCATTTTCTTCTGATGAAGATGATTCTGTAGGGGGTAATCACGATCTCCAGAAGAGCATTTCTACAGCTTTGTCAGCTTTGGATGATGCTTCTGACAAAAAAAACAAATCAGGTAAAATAATTGTATGCTTTCAAAGACATAATTCTGTAGGTTTTGCATATACTTTATATTTTAATTTTAGATATCTTTAGTTTTAGATAAATCATACCTTTCAAAAGGCCTTTATTAAGTTGCACTAAAGTTTAGGAGTAATATTCAAATTATTGAACTGAGATTAAACTAAATTAGTATTTTCCACAATAGTGGAAGTTATGTGACTAAATCCTTGCATGCTGTTTTGAAAATGTATGCTTGCATTTTCTCTTTCAGTATAAAAGATGATTTTGGCATGGAATGGAGAAACTTGTATTTTAATAGACTGATGTCAATTCTCTAACTCAAAATGGTAAAGAAGGTTTTGCTAGTAAAACTCAACAGTCGAGTACCAAAACATTCCATCAAATGGACAGTAAAGATTGTGAACATGTAACCGTGTATTTAAAGAAATTTCATCATGATGGACACAAAGGAGTTGCTTTCAGAAAAGGCTATTTTTGCCTTGGTGGAATTGTCTGGTTTTTTAGGGATGCTTAGTGACATAATTCTTTTATAAATAATTCTGCTTCTCTTTTAACACTGACAAGCTGAAGATGTTTTATCTGATCATTTCTAAACAGAGGGAGTCCAGACTTTAGAGTCATGTACTTTGACCGTAATAGTACAGAGAAATGGAATTTGAAAGGTAAATGTTCCGGTGCAAGTTGGGTTGTAGTCAGTGTTCCCTCTAAGCCAGGGGTCTCCAACACTTTTATGCCTGAGATCACTTTTGGAATTTAAGTGCAATCCAAGATCTACCTGAAACCAAAATACTCTTGTCCCCTCTCCTTTGTGCCTTTTTTCCCGATGTCTCATCCCTGCTCACTCCAACTTCCCTCTCTCTAGGCTGGGGCAGAGGGTCTGGCCTTGGATTAAGGGATTTGGAGTGTGAGAAGAGAGCTGAGCTGCAGGCAGGGGGTTCTAGGTGCAGGTTCTGGGAGGGCATTTGGATGCACTGGTGCTTGGGGCTAGGGATGTTGGAGGGGGTTTATGACTGGCATGGATTTTCAGGCTCTAGCTGGGCGTTGTTTACCTAAGGGAGCTCCTGGTTGATGGTGCAGTGGGGCTAAGGGCAGGCTCACCCCTACCCTGGCCCTTACACACTCCCAAAAGCAACCAGAAAACTCCCTCCGAAGTCCTGTTGTGCCCCCTCTCTGCTCTGTGGAGACAGGATACAAAGTGGGAGAGGGGGCACCTTGACATCAACATCCCTCCTCTCCCTCCCCTGCCCAGCAAGCAGGAAGCTCCTGATGGGACAGCTCCAAGGCAAAGGGCAGGAGATGTGCAGCAGTGGGAGGAGGGGCAGCTGAAGTGCCGGAACTTGATAGTCTCTTGGCCAAACCCATCAGGATCACCTGTCAGAGACTCCAAGATCTACCAGTAGATCCCAATCTACTGGCTGGTGGCCACTGCTCTAAACTGTGTGGCAGCCCAGCTTCACAGGTGATTAATCATCCCCACCCAGGCAGAGGCTCAGGGCTCTGTGCAGGGAGCTGAGTGACTGGATGGGGCTCATTAATCACCTGTGAAGCTCTGCTGCCACAGCTTAGAGGGAACAGTGGTAGGAGTGATGACACTATATTTTATATATAGTTCCTTTACTAAATATTATTGTGTTTGGTCAATACATAGAATTCTTGTCAACAATCATAAATTTTATTTACTGGTGCCTCCTCTGGAAGTATTTTCAACAAACTCTTTTTCACCCTTAGCTACATTATAAAATAGAGGTTTTTTACATAGTTGATAAATAGGAGGTAAAAACCATGGTAACCAGGATTTGACAAGTGCTGAACCTGCCTGCAGGGGCCTAATTTGTTCAATGGCAAGACAATGCACATCTTAGACTTCGTGGTCACTTTCAGTTCTCAGGGTCTCCATGAAGCATCTGGAGAGAAACACACTTTTACTTTGAATGCCAGTCCTGGAGTTTCCAGGCAATGTTTGACCAGAAGTTCACAATGAAGAAGCAAAAAGGGCAGATTCTATTAACTTAGGTCTGAATAGGCCTCACCAGGCATGGCTTCATCAATATTTTCCCAAATGCTTTCAAGGGTTAACAACATAAAGAATACCCAGTGTGTATCCTAAACCTAAAGTTGCAGGGGGTGCGGTCGCACCTCCTGGCTAGAACTAGTTTCCATTATATACAAGGTTTACAGTTTGGTTCAGTGGATCACAGCAGCCCCACTATACAAATTATTCCAGCATCCCTGGTACCTAGTTAACTTTACTGGTTCTGGCTCCCTTGATTTTCGGTAAGAAATCTTTTCAAATGCTTGTTCAGTTTGTGTTTCTTTTGCCATGAAATATTATATGCATATTAAATGAGATTGAATGCTGCCTCACACTTCACATCAATTATAATCGTGGCTCTCCAGAAACAACTTTATAGAACTCTTAGGCCAGTTCATTAGTTTGGTGGCAATTCACTATAGCTGGCTCACAGATCATTGAGGAAAAGGAGTGCCTCAAGTAATCTTATAGCAGCTTCTGTAGCCAAGTCAAGAACGGTAGTGTTTATTATTTACAGAGGAAGCTTATCCAGACTGCCTTTACCAAAAGAATATCCATGCCGTAATTTTTTTTGGGACTGGGGAAATGGCAGATTCACAAAGTTTATAAATTACTAGATACTGCTTAAGATACCTAATTATCACTAAAAATGTATGCAGCTCAAAACAATTTTGACACACAGAGTTCAGTGCCACTTTGTCTTTCATAACAAATTATATACATAGAACATGCCTAGAGCAAGTTTGATCACTGGTTTGTATAGACCCATGGTTCTCAAACTTTTTGGCTTGTGGCCCACCTGGTTTAATGCAAACCTTTCCACAGACCACCAGTTGCTAATGAAAACTCGCCATTAGTTACATATTTATGCCCAAGCAATTTTGTTAGTGCTGAAGCTATGGAGAACGGTTTAATTTAACCAGTAAGAAGGGAAATATTAATTTAAATTATTAAACGGATTAAGCATTTCAAATTTATGTTAGTTTATCAAACTTCATTTTAAATAAAGTAAAAAATTTAATTTATGTCCAAAATGAAAGGTTCCCATGTTTTCTTTATTTATGGCGGGGTGGAGAACCTTTTTTGGGGGTCTGAGGCCACAGATCCAAAGAAAAATTAGCTGGGCACCACACAAGTGAGAAGAAAGGAAAAAAAATCCCAACTCTCATTGATGTGGGCCCCAACTGAGACACTTCACTCCTCTGGCTATCTAGCCCCACTGGGGAAGGGGGAGGGACAGAGACAGGGAGGACTGAGATTCAGGGCCTCCCATAGGCCAGATCTACTCTTCTGGGATTCCAGGGTTAGTGGATTTTGTGGATCCCCTAAGTTCTGGGATTGGGACAAAACTGAGGGGTTCAGTATGTGGGTCAAGGCTATCAGCCAGATGGATGGGGGTGCAGGATCTGGGCAGGAGGTGGGGTGCAAGGGGGATTGAGGGTGCTAGGTCTGGATGGGAGGTAGGGTGCAAGAGCAGGATGGGAGTAGGGTGTCTAGCCAGAGGGAGGGGGCAAGAGCAAAGGAAGGTGCAGTGTGTGGCCAGGAGGGAAGGTGTGGGTGCAAGAGCAGGCTGGGGGTGTGGGATCTCAGCGGGGAAGGTGTCAAAGGGGGAGGGCATGGGAGTCTAGGCATGAGGAGGCACTTACTGGCCTTTGCGCGCTGTGCTGGTCCCAGGCACCACCTCCCACTGCTCCCATTGTCCCAGTTCTAGCCAATGGGAGTAGCAGGGAAAGCCTCCAGGCAACACTCCCATGCACTGTAGTTCCCCCAGCCAGGGGAGAGGAAGTGATTTCCCCATGAGCTGGATCGCACAGCAAGACTCAGGGCTTTCTTTCCCCACCCTCCAAATGGGAAGCCAGCGTTGGCACTCCAAACGCATGGAGGAGGGGCAATGATGGTGGAGCGCCAAGGCAGGCTTCCTGCTGTGGGGGAGGCAGGGGCTGTACTCGAGCCGCAGACCACCTGGAAGGTGGCTGTGGATCACAGTTTGAGAACCACTGGTATAGAAAGATTGACACTTGAAGTGCACAGAATTAGTCAGTGCTGCTATCCTCAAGCACCATGCTAAACATGTATCCATAAAGATCGCTGGGTTAAAATAATATGAGCCAGAGTTTATATATACACATACATATGTACGTATGTAGCTTTATATATATTAAACTTCCTTCATATATCTAAAGTGTATTTGGAATGTATCTCTGCCTGAATTTGGCACCTCTGAGGAATTTCATATAGGTAGTCTTGGGATTCATAGAATCATAGGTTGGAAGGGATCACAAGGGCCATTTAATCTAACTCCCTGCCAGGATGCAGAATTTGAGTCTAAATCGTCCGAGACAGATAGCTATTCAGCGTCCTACTGGAAACCTTCTGCAGCCTCCATAGGCAATCTGTTTCATTGTCCTACTGTTCTCACAGTTAGCACCTTTTTCCTGAGTTTAAATCTGCTATGGTGCTGTAGATTGAATCTATTGCCTCTTTTCCTGTCCTCTGTGGCAAAAGAGAACAATTTTTATCCATCCTTTTTTATTTCATCCTTTCAAGTAATTTGAAGACCACTATCATGTCCCCCCTTAATCTTCTCTTTTCCAAACTAAACACACTCCGCTCCTTCAGCCTTTTCTTTTGTGGCTTCCATTTCATCCTTTTGGACCTCTTTATTGCTTGCTTCTGGATCCTTTCCAATTTCTCTGCATCCTTTCTATACATTGGTGACCAAAATTGGACACACTACTCCAGCCGAGGCCTTCTCAGCATCAAGTAGAATGATACTTTCACCTGCTGTGACTTATGTGCTATGCCTCTGTTAATGCAAACTAAAATTGCATTTGCTTTTTTGTAATAGCATTGCATTACTGAGGCATGTTGAGATTGTCACCCACACAACTCCCAGATTCTTCTGAAGCTGATTATCCCCCATTCTCTATGTAGTTGGTTTTTCTTCCCTTAGTGTAGCA